ACATAGTCAGGTTGGTTGCAATCCTCTGCCAGAACACAAAGCTGGGCAGCATGCTTCTCAATCACCTTTGTACCTTCATGAATGCCCCGAGAAAGGCCACCATGATTAAGTGATTTCCTCAGAACATGCTGCAAAGCTGTCATCAAGTCCATATCCTCAGGTAATACAGCAGGTGTCTCGGTAGCAGGAACAGCCTCTTCACTGAAACAAACAGTATATAGATACAAGTCATCCTTCCAGAACATCATTACATCAGGCAAGCTATTCAAATACCATTACTTCCAACTGTACAAAATATTTACATTTACTAAACCAGCTTACAAGACCATCAGTTCCAAAAACTTGCACTCATTTTTACATGATTAATGGTCAAAACAATCATATAATCATTACATAGTTCGAACAAAGTAACAGCAAAGCAAATCAAGAACAGCTATAATATATGATAAACATGATAATTGGAAAACCATTACATTTGATAGACCATAGCAACACATTAAGACATCACACCACATTATAAACGATCATGACATATCTTTCCAAATGTTCAACAGCAATTCATGGATTTAAGACACATATGGATTATGGAAACACTTTATGAGCACAACAGAGCCATTGTTTCACTATCATTTCTTTCTATAAAAGTGAATTTCATACCATAAAAGAGAATGAAAAATTTGTTTCCGAATAGAAATGAATGAAAAAACTGAAAACAAAGTTGTAAATTTTAGGTGCTAAATTGAAGTTATTAACCCACATTGTAGAAGACAATATAAGTTAGAACGAACTCATTCCATATTAAATTAAATAAAATCACATTTAAGAAATGAAAGAAGTAATTCCAGGTGCTAATTTCAGCATCATTATTAATTACAAAGGACTCAACTAAACAATGGCAGATTTCAGAACTTACCCAGACATTGCGCTTTGATAAATTTAAAACTCTTTCTCCTGTCTACAAAAAAGACAGAACACAGAATCCATTAACAACACATGAAAAGAAACATAATTTGAAACCTAAACAAAACCAATGTTGCGGAAAATTAACCAATATAAATTGCTAATTGCCATGACAACGTTGTAAAGCGTTACCCTGGCGCGCCAGGGCTTCGCCTCCACTCTGGCCGGCAACCATTTTTTGTTTTCGGTTTTTTTTTTTTTTTTTTTTTTTTTAAAGAGCTTCGAAACATCTCATTCATTGCCAAAGTAAATACAAATTACAGGGAAAAAAATCTCCGATTACCAGAAGAATCGATATTATGAAATCAGATCGAAATAAAGAGGGTTGGAGACGATAAAGATATCTACCTTAACGAACAAACTGAGAAAAAGGTAAGAGACGGCGGCGCAGTTGATTTTGGGTGAAATATGTTCGATATTATGAAGATATAAAATTAGAGATAGACTAAAACCCTAGCTTCATATGGAATTTACGAGATTATCCTTTACTTTGAAGGTAAAGACCAAATGGATAACCCAATTTATTTATCTTACTTTCTCAGCCCAAGCCCTCGTTTGGGTTTAGTCCTAAAAATTAAAACCACACCAAGTTTCATATTTGCTTTAAAGTAGAAATCAGGTGGAGGTGGAAAACCCAATCTTTTTATGTTACTGGAGCAGCCCATACTTCTATTATAATCTTGAATTTTTTTCCTATTTTAATTTATAGTTTTTATAATTTTTCATAATTTTCTCCAATATCTTAATTAATTGACAGCATTTGAACATGGAAATGTTTGAGAAAGGGGTATATTTTTTTACAAGGGGTGATTCAATTGGCTATTTAGGGCTGGTTCAATCTACGGCATTTATTTCAACTATAAATTCTTTCTTAAATTTAATTAGTTGTCAAACAATTAAATTTCCTGCTTAATGTTAAGAAGGAAGACAAGATTTGTATGTTTACTTTGGCACATGATTTGCATATGATTCATGAATCATGAAATATTAGTGATAAAAAATTTTTTTAACTCATTATTACCTCTAAAATTGATGTAATATTGGTAAAAATTTTATGTTAAGATGAATTTTTAAAGGGAAGAAATAATTATAAAGTTAAAATAAAAAAAATTATCTCCCTTAAGAATTAATTTAATACAAATTTTAAAAATATATTATTCTGAAATATATTGAGTAATTAAATACACATGACCATATCATAAGTTTCTTGCAGCCATAGAAAACTGCTATATTCAAGCTCCTTTAAGGTAACCCCACAAAATAATAAGTTTGATCAGAGCAATCCTCTCTAAATTCTACCATGCAATCCATCTCCTCTATTTGATCCTCCATGTACCAATTCATATCATCGTTTGGCAAAGATGGACCTTGCTTCATATCATCGTCCAGAGTCCATCCAAAGCACTCAAAATCCGCCATTAATACTTCATCCTCCTTCCTCTGATCACTCGCTGTTGTTTGTGCATGCTCCATGGACGTTAAACCATGGCTTGACTCAGCCATTTCGTTCACATTAATCTCTGCTTGTAGAGATTGCATCAACTTGTTCAATTCTTCATCGTCATAGAATTCATCAGAGTTAGGTTCTTCTAGTAAGGACATTAGAAGAGCACCACTAAAATTTTCTGATACTAGAATTTCTGAGGTTATATCATGCATAGCCTTTTTTTTTTTTTAGTAGGAAGAGGAAGATAGAAGAAATATTGAAGAGGCCAAGTGGGAAAATTGAGAGTGGATCACAAGGAATACTCTCCATCAATGGTAATGGGTACATATTTGAGTAATGATTTGCGAAACGAAATTGGAGGGCGAAATTAGAGGACGACAAGTGAAGCAGGTTAAATTGATAATTTTATATCTTGACCAGCTTCTCTTGTTGTCCCCCATTTCACTACCCAATTTCGTTTCGCAAATCATTACTCGTAAATATTTATATGGCATAAGAAGGGGCCGGCCCTTGAATGATATGTGCTTATGTGGACATTGATTTAAATAAAATCTAGAGGCGTAGACTAGACAAAGACAGAACATAGAATCTGAATCCCCCCCTGTAGTGGGACACGAGTGCACTCTGTGAACATTGGACACCAAGCTCCACCGTGCTTGTTGATGTGACCTGGGAATAAAATTATGGGATCAGATTAAGATTATGTCCGAATTCTTTGATCCTCAACCGGCACTTGAATTGTTGTGGTGCACATGCTGCCACCCCAAAAGATTTTTGAGTAACTTTTGGGTTGGGTCGCACTGTTTGATCACAGAAGCATTTTCTCGAACTTTGGTTATATCATTTCTTTTTAATTTTCTTTTCTTGCCCCAATAACAGACATATCCTTGCCATTGATATTAATTTTCAAAAGTCTAAGTTTTTTTTTTCTTAAATAGATTAAAATTATTTATATATTAATTAAAAAAGTTTTTTTTGTAAGGTTTAAACACGCAACACAAGAAAAATGAACGATATTAACGTAAGATCAGTACCATTGAGTCAAAATATACTGTTTAAAAATCTAAGTTTTTTTAATATATCGGAAAAACAAAGAATCTGAAGTCATCTATCACGGATGGAAGCAGATACCTTATTTTTAGCGAGTGCTGGTAACAGAGCAGCAATTTTTGAAGGAAATTGCTACTTTCAAAAGGTGATGCATACCTCAGTTGTAAACCGTTAGACGATAGTATTTAGTAAACTAAATGGGTTTTTTTCTTAGAAGAAATTGACCTTTTGAAAAGCTTCTTTTCAAGAAAAAGCTGATTTTATTTTTTTTAATATTCCTAATGATAAATTACATAAAAAAATATAATTTTTAAAATTTTATTTTACATAAATTAAAATTAAAATTAAAATTTTTAATTTTTAATTTAAAATTTCCAACTTTTAATTAATTAAGTCAGTTTCAAATAACTAAAGGTGGATTTAATTGATTAAACTTCATTTAACAATTCTTGAGAACAGGCACACGACACCCTTCGAAAGAACAGTTTTCTCTTAAAGCTGCCAACCAAACACTTTCTTAAATTAGGAGATGATTAAAATTAACTTGGATGTCAGTAAATGCAAAGTCATTGACCTTTGACTGTTAATAAACTAAAAAAATGACACATAAGCCTTGAGATTTAACGGTTTTATATCTATAATAAGATGCATTTCACCTGTCTTAAGGTTAGATGTTGAATTTTTCTATCCTCAAGTTATAAATCGTTTAAAAAAAAAAAAACCTGAAAAAATAGGACAAAATGAGGCAAAGACAAACAAAATCATCTTTATTTGTCAGCACCGAAGCTACTGGGATAATTAGTTCAATCTCTTTCATTTATTTCTCCCCATTCTTTTTTGGGGCATGATATGGTCTGTGCTGAATAGCTAAATGGCCACTTGTTCAGTGACAACTCCTTTCAGGTAAGCAAAATCTTGCATTAGTTAGAAGAAATTGTAATCTCCAATTATAATTGTTATTCTCTTGAATGGTGACCATTATTATGACCTAAATAATTAATTAAGATGAATACATGGGAACAAGGCAAACAAGACAATGCTTTAAACAAAATGAACCTGTAATA